TACTCATGTGTGATGAAAGTCTTAAGGTATTTGTGGGTTTTGTATTTATAAGCTTGTTTCACCTTCCCCTTGGGGGCCATGGGTCCTGAATCAGACTAAGGGACCAAGGACAGCTATAGCTTTAATAAGTATGACCAATTAAAATTTGAATTGGGTAGGGAGGTCTTTTCCCAGTGGTTTCAAAACTCCATAACAACCATGTGTGAGCAGTGCCCACGAGGTCAGAAGAGGGTTGGATCCTCTGGAGCTGGAGGTAGAGGCCATGTGAGTGCTGGCACCTGAATCCTGGTCTTCTGTAAGAGCAACCAGTGCTCTTAACCCCGTAAGAGCAACCAGTGCTCTTAACCCTGGAGCCATCTTTCCAGTCCCCACACCCTCAACTACCCCTTTTTTGGCAGGGTGTCCAGTAGGGTCATTGTATCCCAGATTTATTTCTTTTTCTTTCTTTCTTTTTTTTTTTTTTGGTCTTTTTGAGACAGGGTCTCCCTGTAGCCCCAGCTATCCTGGAATTCACTATGTAGACCAGGCTGGCCTTGAATTCACAGAGATCCGCCTGCCTCTGCCTCCTGAGTGCTGGGGTTAAAGGCATGTACCACCACACCCAGCCCCAGATTTTATTTCTAACACCACCCATGCTCAGGGAATCATCTCTTAAAATCACACTCACAAAGCCTTGAAGTAGGAGGGGGACTTTTGAGAATATTGAAAATAAAATCCTGGGTCCAAGGACCCCACTGATACCACACAAAGAGCACACAGACAGTGGGAAAGTAACTCAGCAAGGCAGCTTTTACTTTTGCAAAAGGATGCATTGCTTCATTCTGGTGTCAAGGCAGCAGACTGAGAAGGAAATTTGATAGGTTTTTATCCAAACACAAAGTACTGTGCCTTTTCCTTCAGTCTTTTGTGGTTTGCTAGGTTTTTTTTAAAAAAAATATTTTATTATTTTTATTTTATGTGTATGAGTGTATTGCCTGCATGTATGTGAAAAACACCTGTGTCCTGAAATGGATGCTGCAGAGGTCAGAAGAGGGCTTCGGATTCCCCTGGAACTGGAGTTAAGGATGGTTCGTAGCCCCCATGTGGGTGCTGGGAATTGAACCTGGGTCCTCTGCAAGTGCAGTCAGTGCTCTTAACTGCTGAGCCATCTCTCCAGCCCCGGTTGTCTAGTTTTAAAATAATTGGGGCAAAGGAAGGAAAAGCAGTTGGCCACTCTGGACCAAGTATTAGGTTTCAGAGTGCAGAATACAGGAACAATAGGAGAGAAAGAAAGACACCACATCTGACCTCAACAAAGCAGACTGTGTTTATTTAGCACAGGGAGGGACAGCAGCCTTCCCTCGGGATGGAGGCTACTTTATTGGAAAGGGAACTGATCAGTGTTTTAGGAAAGGGGGAGCAGGGCTTAGGTATATGCAAGGTAAAACAGCTGCAGAGGGCACGAGCTGGTTAAGACATTCTTGAGAGACTTATGGCCCCCTTTCCTGAACCTGTTTGCTCAAGCAAGACAGGCTATCTTGGGAAACAGGCTATCTCAGTAGTTCTCCCTGAGTTCCAGGTTGGTTGGTTGATAGCTTTTGAGCAAGGCCAGCAGCAGTCTCAGAGGACTTCTGGTTTTCTACAGTCGGGGCATTCTATCAATGAGTTCCAGGGATGAGATAGCAGGGTGTTTGCATAAAGAAGAGTTTTACATTTTACGAGGATGGCATTGGAAGGTCATATCCCTGTGTCAACTCTTTTAATGGAAAGGATGGAAGTTCCTTGTGATTATTTTCCTCAGGGGTTTAGTGGAGTTCGGGATGTAGGGACTTTAACTCTCTGGTAAGCTGAGGACTCTCCCTGGGTAAATGTTAGGGTTAAGAGTTGAAAGAGTTGCAGGTAGGGAAGAAAAAGCAACCGAACTCGAACTCGTATAATCCATAATGACCTTTTATTAGTCAGTGAGGGGTGACTGCTGACCAGTGGGAGTCTGCAATAGCCACACAGGCCACACAGAAGAGGAGTTTAAGTGCCTTTGTTTATAGAAACAGAATCGGGGTTGGATAAGGGATTCAGGGCCTACATTCTTCCCCAGTCAGGTCTGGGCAGGGCTTGTTTGCAAAGCAGGGCCAGTCTGTAGAATTTATGGTTGGGGGGGGGTCCCAGAAGAGCTTGTTTGCAAAGCAAGAATTGCTTTATGATTTGGAGCTAATGGAGGTCTCCCTTCCAGAGGGAGAGGGAAGGGGAATGAGAGTAATGGGGGTTTGAGAACAGCTAAAATTCATTATACATATGTATGGGGGGGAATGGTGTAAAGGTCCCTCTAGTGAGAATACTCTGAGTGTGTGAGGCATTGAAAGTCAACCAGTAAAGGGAAATCAGGGAAGTATATTCCTAAGTCTTGTAGCCCTACTATACATTTCAAGAGGAAAATATAAAAGACTGTTCTAGACCAAACTAAAATTTGTGGTTTGGGAGAGGCTTCCTGTAGCTCTGACAATTGACAGGGCAAGTTTTCAACTGGGCGAGAGTGAGTCCCATTTCTCGAGCATGCACTGCATATGAGGCACTGTGCCATTATTTACCTACTGTGTCTTATTTCCACAGACCTGGAAGGCATTTTGGAGATGATGAAACTGCAGTTTAAAGAAGTCAAGTTGCTTTCCTGTGGTCATGGAACTGGCAGACAGGAAACCAGGCACCCATTCTCAGGTACATCAGCCTGGCAGTGTGGCAGAGTGGTCAGGATAAGGGGTTTGGTGTTTGGAGGCCATTCATGCCTGTGGGGATGGGGCAGAAGCTGTGGGGTCTGAGGAAGTAACTCTGGCTGAGGTGTGACTGAAAGGAACGCTGGTCTGTAGGTGTAGGTGGGAGGGAAGGACAGAAACAGCTCCAGGGCTCTAGGCTGCTGTGCCCGCCTCTCCTGGCTCTTGCTCAGATGGTTCTCTGAAACACTCCCACCCCTTGAAGGGCAGCTGTGTCTGCTGTCCCCAGAGTACCTGTAGAGGAGGTGTGACTTGTGTAGGCTTCTGCTTCAGAGGAAGAGCACATTCCTGGTACTTCTCCAACTGGACGTAGATTCTGAAGCTTGAGCTTAGTTTGGCGTAGCAAGCCAAGGGGTCAGAAAAGTGCAGAGTGCACTGTGAGTGCTGGTCACTGCTTGCTGGGTTCAACTCCTGCCCACTGAGTACCTCTCTCTGGGCCAGTTGACCCCACAGCTTGACACTTAGCACTTTATCCACCTGCTGCATAGCTATTTCCTCCTAATAGAGGAAAACTCTCCCCGCTGAGTGGCAGAGGGAGGCTCAGAAGCCTCCAAGTTACAAGGCTTCGTGGGCTTCCCACCAAGGTTGTATAAGCAGCAAGCAACTGCTGGGGGAGAAGAGACTTTTCTGTGGTGCTGCCTATACACTGGGCAGGAAGCTCTGGGTTGTCATCACTTTTACCCAAGCTGGGTGGGCCTTGCAATTATGCAGCCTTGAGTCCCACATGCTGCTCCTGTAAGTGACCCCAATAAACTCACCAAGCTAGATTTGTGCTGAGTCTTTTTGATACAGGGTCTCCCTATAGCCCCAGCTTGCTTCCCAAGTGCTGGGACTAAAGGCTTGTGCCACCACCATGCCTGGCTTGTGTTGACATTTTTTCTTTGGTCTGTCGTCAGTGCCCTATCTGGGGCAAATAGACATTTGCCCACATCTCCTCAGGGAAGGTCATGTGACAGCACCCTATCAGAGCAGTTCTCTGTTCACACACTGGTGTGCATGGTGTACTGAGACTTGGGAAACTTTATCTGATTGGCTTGGCTGATGTTTTCTTCACAACGACTACTTACCATTGAAAGTGTTTCAGTTGGAACTTTGTGGCCATTCGGGAATAGCTATAGTAGCTCCTCATGGCAAAGCTTCACAGCTGCTTAGGTAAAGTGCGTCATTCTCTTCCCTTGTCTACTTCCTGTCACCAAGGGGGGTCTGTTACTTCCTGTCACCAAGGGGTCTGTCTTCTCCACAGCCGGTTCATCGAGTCAGCTCTCATCTGTCTGCTGGCAGCTGGGACACCATGTTGTCAGCTGTTTTCTGTGAGGTTCCTTTTGGCAGAGGCTCCCCTCTGTGGTGAGGAGACAGGAGCCGTGCAGACTCTACCAACAAGCGGTTCTGCTGCCCTTTTTGCACTGAGGAAACACTTACCGCCCCGTATTCTAAACCGGGGAGGTTTTCTGTTCTGAACCCTGCAGTTGCAGGTACCACTACTGCAAGTCTTCCACGGCACACCAGCCGCTTCCGAAAAAGCCAAGCTGAGGCTGTGTGTTGTCAATAGAACCCCTACCCGCAAAGGATTCCTTAAGAACACCTTCTAAAATTTTTATTACATTTGTTTATGTGTGTGCGCGCACATGTGTGCCATGGTGCACGTGTAAAGAGTACTATTTGCGGGAGTTAGGTCTCTTCTACTACGTGGGTCCCAGGGGTTGAACTCAGGTCATCAGACTTGGTGGCAAGTGCCTTTACCACTGAGCCATCTCATGGGCCCAAAAGGAAGGATTCTTTTTTTAAAAAATATTGTATTATTTTGTATATGAATGTATTGCCTGCATGTATGTGAGTGCACCCGTGCTATGCAGTGCCCGCAGTTCTAGGTGTCGGATCCCTTGGAACTGGGGTTACAGACAGTTGTTAGCCTCCATGTGGGTTCTGGGAACCAAACCCTGGTTCTCAGCAAAATCATCCTGTGCTCTTACCTGCTGAGCCAGCTCTCCAGCCTCCAAAGGAGGATTCTTTTTTTTTAAATTTTATTTATTACTTTCTAAAAATTTTATGTGTATGCATGCATTGCCTGCATGTAGGTAAGTGCACCGTATCATGCAGTGCCTGCGGAGGTCAGAAGAGGCTGTCGGATCCCCTGAGATTGGAGTTACAGACAGTTGTTAGCTGTCATGTGGGTGCCGGGACAAACCCAGGTCTTCTGCAAGAACAGCCAATGTTCTTAACTGCTGAGCCATCTCTCCAGCCCCCAAAGGAGGATTCTTTAGCAGCAAAAGCCAAGTTTATTAAAAAAAGGATGACAAAACAGGCTTTAAAAACATAGCATACAAAATGAAACATCTTAATTAAAAATTCTTCATGACAGAAAAAAAAAATGCCTAGGCCAAAGGGAAAAAAGGTTTTCACAGCAGGAACCAGTGTGGGTCTGAGCTGCCCTCTGATGGCTAGGGCAAGCTCAACCCAACTCTGAGGTTTCGCAGGAGTTCCAAGGCCAAGTTGGAAAGTTCAGCAAGCCCTATACCCTGCTCCATCCAGCAGGCAACCTGGGATGCAGATGTCTGGGGACAGACATGGTGGCTTTGCATAGTCTGGAGTAAGACAATCACAGATTGCCACATGCAGGAACACATTCTGAAATGAGTTACCAATGGGATTTGGTCCCTGCATCAGGCACGAGGAGAAGGTCAGATCAGAGTGCAGTTCCCACTGCACCCCTGCAGGGGTGGACGGGTGTCATGTCCTTGGATGTGCTCTGACCACCATTCGGTTTTTATAGCTCAAAAATACGTGGGCCCTAGACTTCAAGTATTGGCACTCTGGCCACCAACCAACTTCATTTTATTGTGTTCCCCCTTTTTCCTTCTTCAGTGCTGGGGAGAGAACCCAGGGCTTTGCACATGGCAGGCAAGTGCTCTACCATCTACCTCTACGTTCCTTGCTCTCCAGTTCATTCGTGGCCTGACTCCTAGTTCAGTGCTCTCTCAGAGGGTCTGGCTTTGATCCTTTGCAATTTGGCAGTGACTCACTGTTGGGGGCTGGGATGTATCAGCTCGTGTTGACGTGACCTTACAGCATTCATAGACACTTGGATCTTCTTCTGTTAGTGTGGCGCTTTTTTTTTTTTCTTTTTTTTTGTCTTTTTGAGACAGGGTCTCCCTGTAGCCCCCAGCTGGCCTGGAACTCACTATGTAGACCAGGCTGGCCTCGAACTCACAAAGATCCGCCTGCCTCTGCCTCCTGAGTGCTGGGATTAAAGGCGTGCGCCACCACGCTTGGCCTTAGTGTGGCACTTTTCATACATGGTGGAAACCAAGAAATATGTGTGGAATACTCAGAAGTTAAGGGACTGGGAGAAAGAAAAAGACCAGAATCTTTTCTGTACACGTAGAACAAAAGTCACTACCCTGGTGTTTTTCCTCCCTGTACGTAGTAAAGCGAGGAGGAAGGGACCTGGTGGTCAGAGCATGAGGTCAGAGGCTGGCGGTCTTGAGGACTGGTGTTGGATATGACTATAGCACTTTCTTGTTCCCCCTGGAATTCACATAAGGTTGAATGTCAGTTCATGTCATTACATGGGAAAGTTCTGAAATAGGCACGTGTTCCAGAAACTGCTTGATGTTCATAATACTTGTATAGCACATACACGCCTTGAGTTCAGGGCTGCACCCACATTCCTTCTGGGCTCGAACAAAGGCCACAGCCCAGTTGGGAGCCACGCAGGGAGGCTGAGCTGAGGGAGCTGCTCTACCTCGCTTGCCGGTTCAGTTTCTGTGTGGCAGCCGCTTTCCACACTGAGATGCAGTTGGACATGGGTATCTCTTCTGGGAACTGGAATTCCACTTCTGGAAGGACATCACTCTCTTTAGTCTCCATGTAACTTACTAGAGTGTCCCTGAGGCTGCAAACCAAGAACAAGAGACGGTGTTTATAATACAGGGCTAGTCAGTGGTCACTCTTTCCAGTCATCATGAGGACCAAGGAGCTTGCCAAGACCAGACATGCTGAGAATCTGCTTATGTCAGCTAAGAGCTGAGCCCCTGAACTGGTCTGGAAGCCCAGGCCCAAGAGTCCTGGCGGATGGAACTGGCCTTTGCACACAGATGGCTCTGAGCACTGCTACTGTGAATAGTAGGGTTGTGTAGAAGGTGAAGCCTTAGCGGTGTGTTCTCTTAGTCTCATAGTAACACACTGCAAATTGTCCAGGAAGGGGGGCGGTAAAGATCTGACTAAGTTCAAAGAATACAAATGCATCAGTTGTGTACCATATAGTGTCTGGGAAGAAGAGAGCAGTATAGACTAGATTAATGAGGAAAGCTGGAGTCTGAATGTTTAAACAGTGAAGTGGCCAGCAAGGCAGTACACCTGTCATCCCAGCAGAGGAGGATCAAGTTGTTGGCTTGCCTGGGCTACATAGACCTAGTCTCAAAAATCAGAGACAGAGAGCAATAGCCCACTTTAATCTTTGCCTCACACTACACATAAAAGTAAATTGACTGCTGGGCATGGTGGCTCACACCTTTAATCCAAGCACTTGGGAGGCAGAGGCAGGCGGATCTCTGTGAGTTCAAGGCCAGCCTGGTCTACATAGCGAGTTCCAAAAAGACCAAAAAAAAAATAAATAAATAAAACAACAAAAGTAAATTGGCCAACAAAGCAGATGCACAGCATAGAACTACTGCACAGCAGGAGAGAAGAGAAGGCCGCTTCAATAGCTTGGGTGCTGAGCAAAAGCCTGGGAGCATTTGTAACAATCAAAGGGTAATTTCTGGTTTGGTTTTTTTTTTTTTTTTTTTTTTGGTTTTTTGGGTTTTTTTTGGTCTTTTTTGAGACAAGGTCTCCCTGTAGCCCCAGCTGTCCTGGAACTCACTGTAGACCAGGCTGGCCTTGAACTCACAGAGATGCACCTGCTTCTGCCGCCCAAATGCCGGGATTAAAGGCGTGCACCACCACACCTGGCTAATTTCTGTTTCATATGAAGAGCTTCTACAGATCATTAAAGAAGAGATAAACAGCCTGCAAAGAAAGTAACCAAAAGCTATCAAGAGGTGATTCAGAGCATCATAAACACACTGCTGATAAATGTAAAAACTGTGCCCAGCCATTAAGTACCTAGAAAGTAGGACAATCAAGAGGAAAGGAGATACTGGTTTTCTGGCTCTTAGATTGGCACAGGTGCAAGCCTTGGCTAATCATGTGTATTCTGCAGCCTTGACACATTGGGTACCTTATCCCACCAACTGAAGATGTATGTCTGATGGACATAGTAAGTCTACTTGTTATAAGGAAAGTATATGACTTCAGTAGGTGGTCAAGACAGGATCTTATGTGGTCCAGGCTGGCCTCAAATTTGCTATGTAGATGAAGAAGCTTGAACTTCTGATTCTTCCAGAATGCTGGGACTACAGGTGTGCGTCGTAATGCCTCATTTATGCAATACTGATCTAACCCAGGGATTTTTGCATGTTAAACAAACACGCTACCGATGAACTGTATGTCCTCCCTCCCTTCTTACCTCCCTCCCTCCATGTGTGTGATATGTGCATGTGTGCATATGCACATGTATTCAGAGACTAAAGGATGATGTTGGGTATCTTTCTCTATTGTTCTCTACCTTAACTTCGAGACAGTGTCTGTCCCTGAACCTGGAACTTACTTTTTTGTCACCTGGACTGGCTGGACACAAGCGTCCTGGATCTGTTCTCTGCACCTATTCCCAGTGCTGGTAGTACAGGCAAACAGCCACACCCAGCTTTCTACGTAGGTGCTGGGGATTTAAATTCAGGTCCTCGCGCTTGCACAGCAAGTGCTGTTACTTACTGGACCATTTCTCTAGCCCCCTAGCTCATGTTTTTAAAACTCTCAAGATTAAAGTCAGAGTCAGTGTCAGGTTCAGTGGAAATGAAAAATCAGCAGGAAATGGGTCTTGGGTAAGGCAGGACTATTTTGATATCCACGGGAGGTCAGAGAGGTGACAGAACATTCTGCAGCCCCCGGCCAGCAGCTGCACAAGGCCATACCTCCACTTGGGGTTGAAGCTGCCCTCGGCCTGGGGCCTCCTGAGCTTCAGCACAATCATTTCATGGAGCTCCAGGAGGAAGGCGTCCAGGCTTGCCTCATTCAGGAATGTGCTGAGGAGCCTGGCATGCTGCTGGCTGAGGTCTTTTTTGTACTCCACACTGATCTCCTGGAACGGCTCCTAAAATGAAGGATGAACAAATGGTGCATTAAGACCTGGGAAGAGTGGGGCTGCTCCCTCCGTCAGGAAAAGCAGACGGCAGATGCAGAACCCACCTTCTTCAGTCGCAGCCGCTGTTCTGACTTATAGGCAGACAGGAACTGCCAGAGGGCAATGGTGTGTCTCAGCTGACATCTGTTTAAGGCCTGAAATAGGAACAGAAACTGGAGTTGGAGCATGTGTGAGTCTGTTGTCTCAAGCGTGCTGTGTGCATGGTGGACCGGCTGGCCGTGGGGTGCTCTTCTGCTTTTCCGGAGTGCCTGCATGGGTGCATGGTGGTATTCTGGTAGGAAGCAGGAGCCATTTACTGTGCAAAGCCTTCCACTGTTTTTTTGAGACATGGTCTCGCTAGGTAAGTAGCTCATTATGGCTTAGAGCTTATCCTGTAACCCAAGCTTGCCTAGAACTTGCAATCCTCTCGCCTCAGCCTCCTGAGTATTGGGGTTATTGGTATGCACCACCAGGCCTGGTGCTGGGACCTACCTTTAAGACCAGAGTTGTCTGATCACCCATTTGCAAACTGTCTTGGATGTACACCTTCAGGTCCATGCCAGGATCCCCACCAGCTGTGCTCAGGAAACTCAGGGTGACTTCTGTGATAGACAGGGCTTCACAGGTATCGCTGTAGGACTGTAGCTGTCCACTGATGGCACTGATAGCCGAGCTGGGGAGTGGGTTCTGGGGAACCAGATGCAAGACAGGGACCATGGTTGGACTTCTTCCTCACTACGTGAGAAGAGCTTAGCTTTGTCACCGCCTAAGCCACAGTGGACACAGACTCTCCGGAAACCACAACGGTTGATGTTTGGCGTACACTAAGTGCACGCAGCATTCCAGACTCCCATCAAAATAGACACAAATTCACGGGAGCAGAAAACAGCCCTGGGAGGAGACAGCCATTCCTCTCCCTTTCAGTGCTGATATGAAATAGGGGAACACTTAAGTTCTCTCCCCTTCCTTCACCATAAATGGAAGAAACCAGCCCCACCAGATTCTAGTGCATTTAACCTCAACAAGGAAATTTTGTGATCTGCTGTCCTGCTTTCCTCTGTAGAAAGCACTGGGTTCATAGGGTTCCCTGGAGTTCTTAGGGAGGGACAGAGACTGCAGTGCTCACAGCAGACCTGGGATGAGGCTGGAGCCATCCTCGATGGACAGAACCACCCAGCAAATGAGGAGGGTTATGAGCACCTGTGTCATTTTGTTCTTGATGTCCATAAAGAGATGTTCATAGTTCCAGTCACGTCTGTATACCAGGGTGGGTATTCCCTACATCGAGAAAGGAAAGTTTCAGAAATGAAATCGACAGTGGAGCTTGTCAGTAGCCGGCAGGTGCTGCCTTCAGTGGTGACAGTGTGGTGTGCAGCTAGCTGGCACTCCTGCTGGAGCGGGCAGCAGTGTTACCTCAGGGCACCTCTGTTGGAGATACCATCTTTGGAAACCACGACACAGCAGGTGTCAGCCTAGCTACAGTGGGCTCAAGGCATTGCACACAGCTGAGGGGCACAGGAGGTCCAGGAAAAACAGGTTTGGGAGGGTGACATCAAAGTACAGATTGTGGACATGGCAGTCACTCTGCTGGACCCAAGGGCTGTCCCAGTGAATCAGAAATGCCTCTGGGCTCCAATTCACTGCCTAATTGTACGCTATGAGATGACCATATGTATATCTGTGAGAACAGTAAACCTGTGTGTATAGTGTGTCCTACTGGACTGGAAGTAGCACAAGCAGCCAGGTAAAGGGACAGAGATGTGGCAGTACCACTGTGTTCCATAGGGATGTGAGGATTCAGGACTCAGGGCAGGCAAGTGAGTTAAGGCAGCTGGAAAACTGGGCTAGAGCTAGGCCAGAGGGCCTTCTACACCAAATGAAGGGAAGGCAGTGGGATGCCATGCAGGGTGTCCCAACACAGAGAGGACCCAGGGGGCACCGTGACAGACAGCTGAGTGGCAGGCTGTGGCACTTAAAGGATGAGGACATGCAGCAGGAACACAGCCGGAACCTGGTTCAGACTGCTGAGGGATGGCAACAATGGCAGGGCTCCTTGGTGGTGCCATTAACTAGAGTAGAGACCTAGTGGTGAGTCTGTCCACTCGAGGCTGCCTGTGGGGCACTGAGGTGCAGATGCTGGTATTGAAAAGCTCAGGATCCTCACCAACAAAGGCTGATGAGGCAATGGCCACAGATGCTTTGGTAGGAGGGAGATGACACAGATGTGACAGTGGGAGGCCTAGTGTACTCCAGTCATGGAGTACTGTTCATGACAGACACAGCAAGCACATATCTAGCAGCAGGCTCAGCCTACCTTGAGGGTCAGCCTGGGCTTGCCCTGGAGGAAGCGGCTACTGATCTGCCGCTGGATCTTCTCCAGGTCAAACTCCTGTGAGGTTTCCCCACCTTGCTGCACTTGGTACTGGCAGTTGGAGAGAATCAGTGGAGTCAGGTCCCGCTCCACCTCGTAGCTGATGACGTGCAGGTCAGCAACCTCAGAGGCATCTACAGAATAGCTGAGGGACACAACGCATGTTTGATGTCGGGCAGACACCTGGGGCCACTCCTCTTTCAGCCTCTGTGGTCTGAGCAGGTGAAGGCTGCATGTGCATGAAGGGAGGGCTCTGTAGAGTGTGGCTGAGGAAGTCTGCTGCGGGAGGAGCTGGAGTTGGCAGGGGCCCTGAGGGGCTGGGGCTGGCTAAGCACCAAACTCTGTTGGCTTGTATACATACCTGTTGTTTTCCTTGGAGAACTTTTCCACTGTATAGACCATTTCATTGTGTAGGCTGATTAAGTAGCTGACTAAGGCAGTTGAACAGAGGCCTGGGCCCTGTCGACGTGGTAGGATGACCTCAAAATCAGCATCCAGATCCAAATCAGAGTGGCAGTAATCTGTATGTAGCTTGATCTCACCTGGAAACAGCAGGGTTATTCCCGGTCAGACAGGCGCTATGCCTCATGCTGCTTCAGCCACAGCTTCAAGGTGAGGGAACAGGAGGCACAGAGACACGGCCGCCCCAGCTAAACACAGAGCCCCTGGGGAGCTAGGTTTTAGGTCCCGCCTCCAACTTTTGAAATGATCTCAACTCCTTCTTGATCCCCAGTTTGTGGACTGAAGACTGAGGGTTTATTTCCGATGTCATCATATTCCCTCAGAGCCTCCATCTGAGCACACTTAGGGGGTTGGCAGTGCTGCACACCAAGTAGGGCATTGGGTGCAACAGGCAGAGCTGAGCTGCAGAGCAGTGTGTGCATGGTGCATCTCACGATACTGTAGGAGGGGACGAGGACGCCTACCATTGGTCTCCAGAGACCGCCTCAGTGCGTTCCATGTGGACAGAAAGATAGCGATTCGATCATGAAACAACTTCCTCAGCCCATCTGTTGAGGAAAGCACTCGGTAAGAGTTCATGGAAACAGCAGCCTGACTGGGTTCCGACCGACACAGTGTGAGCTCTGAATGGAGCCAGCTCTGTGTCTTCCTGCTGCGGCTGAGCCAGACGTGTCTCAGGTTCGGGTCCCTTTACCTCATGCTCAGGGCACCTGTTACTGAGCCCTCATCCCCTCCAGCAACCCTTGAGAACCATCTGTTATATAAAGATTGTCCTGATCTCCTGTTTGAGCTTGGGCAGAGTAATACCTGAACGGTGACTGCTAATAAAACCGCTGATGGAGCTGTATTTGTCTTCTGAAGCATTCTGGAACTGTTTCACTAGATCTCTTTGCAGGGCCAAAATCTCAGGCAAGAATTTCACCAGCCTAAGTTCTGCTTCCTGGAGAAGGGAGGAGGGTTTAGTAGCAATGCCTATACTTACCTAAGAAAGGCTATTAGGTGTGTAGATAGATGCTGGGTATACTGGGGGGACTGGATCTGGGACATTTCATTTATAAGGTCAACCTTCCACTTTATACAGCAATACACCTTCAGGCTCAGAGATAGGTGAAGCGTCAATTTGATCTTTCTGTTGGCACCTACAAGAGGCTTGAACTGTCAGATACCATTTCCCAGAGTCCTGACCTCCTGAACCAAAAGTCAAACCTGTGTGCCAAATCCAGTAAGAGAGAGCTGCTCCAAAGACTGTGCAAAAGTTAACTTAGAATGGATCAATACCTAAGATCTGAAACTGCTAGAAGAACAGGAGCGACATGCTGGTGTCAACGACGGTTTTCTGGGTAAGGAACCCAGAAGTACAGACTGGTAACTGAACACCTGTACAGCAAAGCAAAGAATCAGCAGGGTGAAGACACAACTGCAGAATGGGAAAAAAGAGCTGCCGTGCATGACCAGGGTTAACATCAGAATATGTAAGCTTCTCGAGAACTTAGCGAACAGCTAATCTAACTAAAGATGGGAAAATGATCTGAACAGATACTTCTCAAAGGAATTACAGATGGCCAACAAATATATGAAAAAATGTCCAATATCCTTAACAACCAGGGAAAGGCCAATCAGAGCTACACTGCAATGCCATTTCACCCTGCTCAGAATGCTATTGAAAAAACAGTCAATGATCAATATTGATCAGGATGTGGAGATAAAGGGATCCACACACTGTCAGTTGGAGTGTAACTGAGAACAACTGTTCCAACAAACAGTATGAAGGTCCTCAGAGAACTAAAGCCTCAACTACCACATGATCCAGCCATGCTACAGACCCCAAAGAATGAAACCAGCACACCAAAGAGACACGTGCGTGCCCATGTTTACCGACAGGATGTCGGCCTAGGTGCCTATCAGCAGATGAACGGCCGGAATACATCTGGTGTATACACAGGGGAGAATACTCAGCCACAGAGCATAAGATGAATGGAATCCTGCCATCTGAAGAATGGGTAGAATTGGTCTGGAGTACGCTGTGTTAAGTCAGACACAGAAAGAGAAATACCATATGTTCTCTCTCCCATGTAGACACTAAAGGTGCAGGTTAGAGATTGAGACGGGAGAGGGTAGGAGGAGGGTGGCAAAAGCGAGGCTGGATTCATCAGTACGTGCTGTGTATGTGTGGAAACGTCCCACTGAACCCCTTAATGTGTATAATTAGCATGTCTTCATAGCAAGGACAGTTCAAAAAATAAAGAGAAAGAAATGGTCCTTTGGGCCCATGTGACTTTCGTGAAAAGCTGTTGGGAGCAAAGAGCTAGTGTTTAAGCAGCAGTGGCTGTTGTTCCAGAGCTCTAGACCTAAGCTTCCTCACAGAAAACTATGTGAGATCGAAGCCACAGCACAGCCAGGAGCTGTGTGAGCATCAAAAGATTTTGGATCAGTTTGCTAGCTGAGCACTGTTCCCCAGGGAAGCCGTGAGAAGACTGTGAACAGGAGCGCCAGTGGATAACAGGAACTGTGTATTTCCAAGGCCAGTGGACAGGGCTGCCACGTCTCATGGCTCCCCAACCTCTCCCAACACACACTCCTAACTCCAGTCTGTGCCCAGATGCTTTAGAAACAAGGAAGGATTCTTTTTCCTTCTTAAAGTTTTGGAGTCACTACAGCAGACACTATAGGTGGCCAACTGCTCCCAGACAAAGATGAAGAAGCAGCTGGATGCCTGTGGCCTGTTCATTCTTGCTGAGTGGCAGGGCCCTCCTCAGATTACCACGGACCCTCAACTCATGTGGATTTTACCTGTGCCTTGACACTTCAGACAGCCCGTGACCGGACAGACCTGGAGACCTCTCCTTTCTCCATGAGGCTCTTGCTCCTGACATTCTATTAGAGCCACAGCATTGGCAGCTGGCTGGAGTTCTGGCTCTAGGAACCATTATTCTAAACAAGGATCTAGGGTCTCCGGCTTCCCAGGGGCTATCTGCACAGACAAAGTAAGGCTGACCAAAAGTCACCGCACCTTCTGGAGGAACTTCCAGAGGACAGGCACGGCCTCCTTGCCATTCTTCTGCTCTACGATGTGCTGGAGGTACTCCACTGTGATCTTCTTCTTACAGCTCCATATCTTCGAGCAGTGAACCACACTTTTCTGGGGTAGGTGGGGCAGGAAGGTCGCTGGGTCCCCATATATGATTTTAGCCACAGGGTTGGAGCTGATGCGCTCATCTTGGCTGATGAGAGCATTTACAGTTGGCAGGGTTTTGTCGAGATGCTGGATGGAGAAATGATGCAGAACTGGAGAAGTGAGACATGGCCACACACAGGCTGAGCCCTAGACTTCACCAGTGGCTTATCTTCGGGACTGACCTACTTGGGTGCTTCCAAACATGGGGACTAAGAGGCCTGATTCACTGTGCTGCTCTCGTCTCCTGACTTAATGCCCGGCTGTGCTGAGTGTTTCTCAATGTTCTTGCCTGAGGGGAGTGATCCATCTGTGACAGCTGTTTATGCTAGCAGGTCTCTGTAGGACAGCCTATTCTCCGACCTGCACACACAAGCTAGGGCAGGGGTGCACCACTCCCTACCCCACACCAATACAGATCTCAAAATGTAGTAACATTTTCTTCCCATTGACACTTTGAATGATTTTTTTCGGAGTTTGGGTGTAGTTCAATGTTAATATCTGCATAGCGTGTACGAGGCCCTTGGTTCCACCCCCAGCAACAGCATTTTTGCTTCCTACCCTCACATCCTATTGTTCATAGAAACTGATGGTGAGCGAGCTGCTGCCCTAGGAAGAGAACACTGAAGTCTGAGGCTCAGCAGAGGCTCCTCAGTCCTTTCCCAAGGGTGGTGGGCCCAGGCTCCTCAGGACATGTGTAGGAATGACTTAGGAAATGGACAGAATCTCGACTAATGACTTTTTTTTTGGTCTTTTTTGAGATGGGGTTGACTTGTAGCCCCAGCTGGCCTGGAACTCACTATGTAGACCAGGCTGGCCTTGAACTCACAGAGATCCGCCTGCTTCTGCCTCCTGAGTGCTGGAATCAAAGGTGTTCAGTATCATGCCCCACCTGAACTAATGACTTTTAATTAACCTTGACAACTTCAATTTACTACTCCACCTCAAAAAAGATAATGAAGGATGTGGATGTGCTTGAGGATGAGCATATCTGGCTGCTGAATGACAGCATCTGCCACGAGCACGGTGAAGACTGGGGAAGGAGCTTGGCATTGTGTGCCTGAGGTATTCTACAGCCAGGCCGGAAAGGCAGGCTGGTCTGAGAAGACAAGGGTGGATTCAGCTTGTCATTCCCCAACTGAAGCTGGAGAAACTGGTCTGAATAAAATTGTGAATGAGGCCTGACTGAAGGCACGGTTCCAGGCAGTTCCAGGGCACAGACAGCTCCAAAAATGGGGACCGGTGTCCTCAGAGCTCAGGCCCACTCTTAAAAACTAAATTTCGTAGTTGGCTGTTCTGTACAGGTATAACTGTAATGTTGGTGTAGTAACACCACAGAGATGTGTGAGACACCCCACCCCCATCCTGGACAGAGGTGTTGAACGACCACCAGCCCTCACCTCCAGTTCAGGCAGAAGAAGAGCTTCGACGTGCTTCTCCCAGTTGTTTCTGTACCCTTTGGTTGACAGTTCAGCATTAAAATTCAAAGTCCCTACAAGCAAAATAAGACTGTGTGGGTTGTCAAGAACAAGGGCCACAGCAGACTGCATGTAGTGAGCTCCAACTAGAAAGGTTTTGTACGGGGAAAGTACCTTCCTAACCACCCCAAACCACCCCGAGGATGCCGGACAGTCCCTGCTGCCACTGCTTAGCCACTGATGATGTGATGATACCTCAGAATCCCTCTGACTCCCACTGTCATTCTGAAGTCACCTGAACAAAATTACTAAGGATAACTTAAAATCACAAGCCCAGGAGCAGAGTGACAGTGGCCAGTGCTGCCAGTGCCACCACCAGTCACCATCAGTCACCCCAGCTGCTGCCTTCGGCCTGCAGGCAGAGCAGACAAGAGGCTTTCAACACTAAGGTTTCACTAGCCAGGAAACACCCTGTGATGCTGGCTGTGGGAGGAAGCCCCTGGAGGAGCAAGTTCTCTAGTCATGTACAAGGGCCTTGGTTCAATCCCTAGCACCACCAAAACAAAAAGATTTTTTGCAGTTAAGAACATAAACTCACTCTCTTAATAATGCCATTACTCAGTGACATTTATTAACTTATCCTACAGATTTTTCTTATGTTGATTTAAATGCTTAGAACAGAAATAGCTCAGTTTGGTAGTCTGCTTTTTCCTATGTAACAAAGTGTACAGATGGAGACATTAGGTCAGTTGTGGACTATGGTCACTCCGGCAGTTTGAGGAAAGCAGAAGCTGGGGTAGTGACTGATTCTTGGACACACATCCCCTGCTTTGGATGACACATGTCTCCAGTATAGTAGGTTTGCGTTTGTGTATAAGTATTCCCAAGTAGCAAATACCAAAGATCCTGGTCAGGTGTGTGGTGAAGGGCCACAGCCAACTCTTCTGCTCTCCAGAAAGAGCTCATGCTTTTGTCGCCCCTCTCCTCTCTTTTTTATTTGAAAAAGGATTTTACTTTGAAGCCCAGGCTGGCTCTGTACTCATAGCCATCCTCCTTCCTCAACCTCCCTAGTCCTGGAAGTAGAGGCTGCCAGGCCCAGCTCGAATTTGTGGGCTTTACTCACTTGGGGCCACGGGAAGTGATCCCTAGCCCAGCGTAGAGATCATCCCCTTTGCTTACTCTGGCCAAACACAGGGTGCTGCTCCTTGAGGAAGCGGCACAGGACGAGGTGCACCACGTGGGTGGTCTCGTCAGCAGTCTTGCCCAGCATCTTGGTCAGCTGCTCCAGGTCTCTCTGGATGTGCTGCTGTAGGAAGCCCTGTGGGTCCTGGACCTGAGGCTTAATGATCTCCATCAGGGCCTGGGAGACAGGTAAGGAGAAAAACGCTCAAGGGATCTCGTGTGCAGATGGGGTGATGTGTTTAGGGGAGAGAGGCCAAGCAGAACACCAGCTTTGAGATGGAGGCTGGCTTCTGCAGTGAAGCCAGAGAGATCTCGGCAGAGGTGGGAGGAGCATCCAGCAGCTGGCTTTGCTGTTACCTGACAAAGACCTGAACCCTGCACTCTGTGCCCTCTTGGCTAGTGTTAGCGTGGAGGAAACACAGTTTCTTTGCTTCCTTCTCTAGGGCTGCAAAGAGTATGCACATGACCTAGGATCCCAACAACCTTCCCGAGCCCAGGTGTGGAGTGGGGAGTAGCTGCACCCTGAAAGGGGACTTTATAATCTGATCCTTATGCCTCGCATACAGGTACTAAGATGTCACACTGTCCCCCATAAATGCAGACAACTGGTTGGTTGGGATAGGTTCAGTGAGCTCTTGCCTCACATTCATGAGGCCCTGCATTCATCTAGAGCACTGTGAAAAGCAAAATGAAAGTGTATTCATTAAAAGAATAAAGTGGATTTTACATCATCTGAAAAGTATTCCACTATCCCATCCTGTGCCACGGTGGGAAACATTAGGTGATGTTAAGTTAGTGCTACCTGGTGGATTAGGTGCCAAGAGCGCGTCTCAGAATCCACAAGTGGAGGTGAGGCTGTTTAAACAAAAGGGCGGGCAGAGAACCACAGTAGGTCCTCCCTCTAGTGGCTGAAGACAGCCCTGGGCAGTAGCTTGCTCTGCATACCTCGCGATTCTGAGTGGCCCCCAAAAGCAGAGCCAGATGAGTGAGTAATCGGGTAAGGATGAAGACCACTGGAGACAGTCCCCGGTCAGATGCCACTGCTGCACCAACAGGCTGTGGGTTGCCCAACACGTGGCCAGTCTGAGTTCTGTCCTCATTGCTTCTGGAAAGGACAAGAAGAGACAGGGGCACACCTCACATTCTCAGGACTTGAAGAGAGGGTGCCAAGTTTCAAGAAAAATATTAAAAGTCTTTCTTCTACAAAGCCTAGGCCACCTGCCTATGAGTTTTTTTCCTAAACTCACCTTTATGGCTGACCAATTCCCCCCACCTCCCCAAGCTGTAAAGTGGCTACATAAGTGGCTTCTGGAGCTGATCCCTGGGAAGGCTTGGGAGGAGCACTCATTCATCTGTCTCAGGGCAGCTAGAATTTGGGACATTTTACATCAACACAGGTGTTTTCCACATTCTTCTCATTTCCCAAATCAAGAACTAGGATCCAAGGACTAGCAGATGTCTTATATCATGTTCAGGTGAGAGATGCAGTATGATACAGTCAGCTGCAAGGATACTGCAGTGTCACGGGCATTCTGTGATGTTATGGGGACAGACACCCACTTGCTAGATACTACAGTGTCACTGCATTCTGTGAGTTACGGGACACTCAGCTGCCAGATACTACAGTATCACTGCATTCTGTGAGTTACGGGACACCCAGCTGGAGTATCTCAAGCTTTGATAACACCAGAAGCACCAGAATGCTTGGTGCCTACAGACAGGCCACCAGCCAGTCCTCAGGGAGCCATCAGTTGTATTGTGCTAAGATTATGGGATCAGACTTTCATGTGGACTCTACAGTCTGCTACAACAGGTCCTCTGTCCCTGTAGACCCAAACAATTGCAAACCAAAAGTATTTTAAAAAGTTTGTTAGTACTGAAGATGGACAAGTTTGCTTTCTTGTCATGATTCCCTAAACAATAAATACAGTAGAACCTTTGCACAGGACTTACACTCTGACAGGTACTGTAAAGAATCTAGATGACTTAGCCCATTCAGGAGGATGTGTAGTATAGTTCTGTCCAGAAACTATGCCATTTTATATGTGGGAGTTGAGCACCTTCAGATCTTAGAATGTGGTGTCCCAGAACCCACTCCTCACATATACCAAAGCATGATGGCGATGTTCGACAAGTCTGAGTCTGTGTCCTTCATTTTTCTCATATTTTGAAAAATAAAAACAAGCCAGATGTGGTGGCACACCTCTGCAATTCTATCAGAGGCTGAGACAGGAGGATTGTTATAAGTTCAAGACAGGCCTGGGCCACGTAGCAAGTACCAGATATCCAGGGCCTCAATGTGAGACCCTGTTCCAAAAACCACAAACACATACACACACACACACACACACACACACACACACACGCAGAGAGAGAATGAGACAGAGACACACAGAGAGAGAGAAAGACAGCAGAGAGAGACAGCAGAGAGACAGAGACAGAGAGACAGAGAGAGAGGAGAAAGGAGAGAGAGAGAGAGACAGCAGAGAGACAGAGACAGAGAGACAGAGAGAGAGGAGAAAGACTTTTCCAGAAACAATGAAGACATGTTGGGAAACCCGTAGCCCATTGGTATAGCCGTGGTGTCTGACCAAGGAGTGTCCCTAGTGGGGACATCCTCATGTAATTTACTCATTTGGCTATGCTTTTGGAAGCCCCTCACAAGAGGGGGGGGAGATAGAGGGAGAGGAAGGGAAGTAGGGATGGAGGGAGGGAGGGAAGAGAGAGATGCTACAAGTACAAGTGTGATGACAGCGCTGAAGTAGAGAGAGATCCATTTTCCGTTTTTCAAACATAAATGTCTTGGAATCAGGTCATGTCTTTATGGCAAACATTTTTCTATAGGGAGTGAGTCAAGGCCTTAATGGAACACATCTGTATTAATAAGTATTAATGTATAGACCACTGTGTGTCTAAAACCAGTGACCGAACACCATGTAGTTAGCTAATGACAGGCCTTGGCTCTGGTGCTCCATGTGACATAGATCCAAGTGTACAACAGCCTCTGTGAATCTAGTTAGTGACAGTTTAGCAGATAGAGCAGATACAGTCCCGTAGCCCAAGCCTCACTGCTAGGAAAGAAATAACAGCCTACATACTTGATCATCTCGAAGCCCTTGTTCGGTACATGACTGAGGCCTCCGATCTGAATACCGCAGTCCACACAGAAGCTCTGCTCCATTGGCATGCCACACTGCGGTAAACAGACAGCACAGCTTTATGCACAAATGCCACCATGTACTGACGTTGCTCTGCCACTGGAGGTTGCTGTGATCACTTCCTCTGTACATATATATTTTGGGGGTGTGGTGGAGATGTGGGGACAGGGTAGACACGTACTGCATACTTAGCCCTGCTCCTTCCTGTGTCAGCCACTCCTGTCCTGGATAGGGCTTCATCTGTGTTGGTCACTCCTGTTTTAGGTAGGGCTTCTCTATCTAACACAGGAAAATCCTGTCACTCCCTTCCAGCCTGATTTTCTTACATAGGTTGGAGATTGTTTGGTTGGTTGGTTTTAGTTTTTGGAGATAGGGTCTCCCTGTAGCCTCAGCTGGCCTGGAACTTGCTGTGTAGACCAGGCTAACCTTGAGCTCATATAGATTCGCCTGCCTCTGCCTCCTAAGTGCTGAGACTAAAGGTGTGGGCCACCACGTCCAGCTAAATTGGAGCGTTTTCAAAGAGCATCAGTTATTTTTATTCTATGTGTATGAATATAGAATTCATAGAATATATTGCCTACATGTGTGTTAGTGTACCCATGTCCTGCAGTACCCATGGGTCAGAAGAGGACATCAGATACCTTGGAACTGGAGTTATGGATGGTTGTCAGCCCGCCATGTGGGTGCTGGGAATTGAACCCAGGTCCTCTGCAAGAGCAGCCAGTGCTCCTAACTGCTGAGCCGTCTCTCCAGCCCCAGAGACTTTTAAGTACTCCCAAGGCTCCCCTTTAAAGTTAAATGGTGTGCCTCTGTACTATGACACATGGCCTGCAGCACGCTAAAACAGCCATAGATCCCTAGACTGCAGAACTCCAAACCTGGAGCAGTTGGGGAGAAACTATGTCTACCTCATGGACAAGGAAGTGACTGAAGTGTAGCGGTGACGTGTTTGGACAGGACCCCTTCATGCCTCTTTACTGAACAGCACGTGTCACTCAGTAAGCACAGGGCCTGAGGTGGTGCCCTGGCATTCACAGATCACTGCAGTTGTTCTTCCCCATGGGCTTACTGTTGGGTCTCTTTCCTATCCAGTGGTGTCCAGACTATATGCCCCTCTCTGGTCAGCAATCCAGCCAACCATCTAGTCAACACATGGCCACACAACAAGGTATGCCACCAACCCCAGCTGCAGGGCCTGAGAGGAAGCAGCGGCTCTTAACCAGCAGCACTTTTGGGTCCTGGTAACCTGTGGCAATGTCTAGGAACTTCCTAGCTTGTCACAGTTGGGGTAGGTGGGAAGTGCTGCTACTGGCATATAGTGAGTAGAGGCCAGGCATGCTGCTAAATGTCCTCCAATGCTTGGAGCAGAATGCCCACAGTGCTGTAGGGAGAAACCATCAGAACATTTAGGCACTTAGTCAGAGTACCCTGAGTGATCCTCAGAACAAGTCTGTGTTCTCCCAGAAAATCAACACCCTGTTTACTCATTCTCTAGCCCCATCTCCTCAACTCTATGTGAACATGCATTCGAGTGTCTACCCACCCACCCAAAAACTATCCAAACCCCCAAACTTACCTCTCCCACAGAACACGGATGACCATTTGGACAAGCTGGTAAGAGAACAACGGGATACACGTTGGCCAGTGAGGGGCCACATGACCCACAGGAGCCCATACCTTTCCCTCTGGCCCTGACCAAATACAACACAGAAGATGTGCTCAGAGACCCCTAGAAGTCAGAGCCATTTGACATGCTGTCCCTAGTGTCTGATGTGTACCTAGTGTTCAGCAATGCAACCACTAGTGGTGAATTCAATTTTAGAAAGCTGAGAGAAATTAGATTACGATTCACACCAGGGTAGCATGACAGTGGGCAGATAGCAGTTCACACCTTTCTATCTGCTTGGATTTATTTATTTGCTACAAGTTTTTTGTTTTGTTTTGTTTTTGAGACAGGGACTCCCTGTAGCCCCAGCTGTCCTGGAACTCACTATGTACACCAGGCTGGTCTTGAACTCACAGAGTTCAAGAACTCACAGAGCCTCTGCCTCCTGAATGCTAGGATTAAAGGCATGCACCACCACACCCGGCTTTATTTGCTACGATTTTAAAAACTAATTATAAAAGACCACTTACTCAAAGCAATGCAAAATTTATATAAAGTCATGGGTTGCATGAAGTTGCATCTCAATTCTACATTTTTTTTTTACTTTTATCTGCGTTATGTACAATTTATTCCTGTGCCATAAGTTTTTGTTCAATTCTACATTTTAAAAGAGCTATCTTGGGTCAAAGACTGCTCTATTGCACCTGACCTTTGAATGAACCGTGGTGTGGTTCCCAGTCCCCCATCCTTCCAAATGGAAACATCTAGAAAGCAGAGTGCATTCCAAAGGGCCCTTTCCCCGGACTCAGACATGACAGGGTTGGGACCATGTGGCCAGCAGGGTGTGGGCCCCACAACTACTGCTGTCCTGTAAGCCATCAAAGGCAGAGGAGCAGGCAACTGCAGCCCAAACACAACCCAAGGGCTTGTGTAAATATGGGCTGATCGTCTAAGCTCAGAGGCATAGGATTTCAACACTTACTGTACCAGTGGACTTTTCCCAGGCCCTTCCAACTCTTGGCTTGAACCAACAGGTCTTCAGGCATCGTTGGAAGAAAAGCATTCTGAAAGACCAAAGCAGGGCCATACCCTCTAAGCAAGCGCACCACCTGAGGGCTGTGCGCAGCGAGGGGCCAGAGCTAGAGAACCCCTAACACTTCAAACTACGCAGCAAGGGTTCCTGTCACAGTTTGTTTGGTTGTCAACTTGACTGGATCTGAAATCAACTTAAGACATAAACTGCTGGGTATACCTATGAGGAATTTTCTTAATCAGGTTTTCTGAAGTGAGAAAACCCACCCATGTGGGTGGCACCTTCCAGGGGCAGCCAGATAAAAGGTCGTACAAAAAAGTCCTGCTTTTTGCCTGCTTGCCATCCATCATGCTGGGCAGTTCACCTGCCATGTTGCCGCCGCCACACCCTTCACTTACATCAGAACCCAGCTTCTTGGACTTCCAGCTTGGACTGAAAACCTTTCAGAGCCAGGCTGACACTGCTGAGGCTCCAGCCCCATAGTCTGAGCAGTGATGGGGTTCTCAGCCTCTCCAGTGTGAAACAACCATTGTTGGGCTACCCAGGCCTGCTATGTAAGCCAATCTAATCAACTTCCTCTTAAGATCTGTCATCCAGAACTCTAATACAGTGTGATAGCTCTGTGGGAAACAGCAAAGGGCAGGCCAAGTTTTCCCCACCACTGTGGGCAGATGGGTCGAAATACAAATGAGATTAACAGTTCCCAAGGCCATAGGTTTGGCTGCCACAAGCGTAAAGCCCTGAAGAGCGTACTAGAAAATGGAAGTGATCTTACCGCCATGTTGGCTGGATAGAAGGCCAAATTCCTCAGAGGTTCCAAGACTTTATTTTGTCCACACAGGAAGATGGCTGCAGCGTGGATGGCCATTTCAGCGACTGTTCCTTCAAGGCTGCTATTATTGGAGCCCCTCCTCAGCAGAGGCAGATCATTAGCTACCAGGGATTTTGCAAGGTGTCTGACATTAGGAGCAGAAAGGATCTTGCTTTCCTCAATGAATCTGTTAACAGCCTCGCATTGCTGATGAGAAGAAATGTTCTCACGTTAATATATCAAAGCAACATTGTAGAGCTGGGTGTGGTGGTACACATCTATAATCCCACAACTTGGGAGGCTGAGGAAGGAGGACCATAAGGTTGAGGACAGCCTGGGCTACATAAAAGCAGACAAGGTCTGAGGATGCTCTGTTGTAGAGCACATGTCTAGCATGTACTGTGTTCTGGGTTCTTTCTTCAGCATTGAATAAAAACACTGTGTTTTATGAGTCACACATTTTAATGCCAAATATAAAGGCAGCGTGGCTGAATTATCACCAGTTAAAGGACAGCTCTTCAGAGAAGAGATTTTTCATGTGGAAACAGAGCCCTCACATACCTGGGCACAAACTGAGATTCTGTTTTGGGAAACATTACCTTGTAATCCTGAACATAGTTATAGTCTTAATTCTGTAAGTTTGGGGCTAAATAGAAAATAGTTCTTCCAGTGATAAGGTTGAAAGCCTCAGAAGCTATGGGCATATTTGTGATTTGAATTCAGAAGTCTAAGTGATAAGGCTGTGGGCATGAGCCATATGCGGGGCTGCTCACCTCTGGTTTTGGGTGGAGGTTGGCATTGTGGGAACGGTACAAAACAGCCACCTCTCTGTACAGGGCCAGCAGTAAGTAGGTTGTCTGCTGGGCTCTGGAACTCCTGCAGGCCTGCAGAGGTAAGGACACCAAGTAAGACTTAAGGGTTGCATGGCTCGTCCTGAGGCTTCCCAGGCCCTGGACACAGTGCACCATGCCTGATAGGGGAGGGAGGTCCATGAAGCACAGCCCTGGTGCTTCATGGTTCATGGGCACTGGCCAGACAGCCAGCATCTGGCCTCTCAGTGACTTCTTCCCTGGTCTCAGAAACATTTCCTGAGCAGAGACAGAAGTTTGTTCCCTCCTTCGTAGCACAATGCCACATGAGCAGGGACTCAAAAAGGAAGCAAGACCAGGACCCTTTCATGGTTAGAATTCTAAAAGCCTGGCATCATTATCAGAATAGTCACAAGTGCATGTGTGAACTATGATGATTCAGAGGAGTTTACAAGGTGGGACATTCTTCAATCTGAGTGATTCCCAGAGTGGCTTTTCAGCAGGGTCTCAGCCAGACCAAAGGGATCCAGCCCAACTCAAGTGTTGCTGTGCCTGATCCAGCCACTAGTTCCCTCTGTAGTCAGCGTATCATGAAGCCATACATACCTGATTTCCGATACAGTGTTGCCCTAGGGGCTGTTCAGTTGCCACTCCATCATTTAACATAAATAGATGCAGGCCTCCAGGGAGTGCCTCCTGGTACCACAGAGAAGCCCAGAGCCCATCCTACCGTCAGAGCTGCCCCAATGTCTAGGGTCTTGCACTCAAGCACAGCTTTGCCCATTGCGTCACGAAGAGCCTTGTACTCATGGCCATGCACTAGGTACCGGTCCATCTGGCCTGGATGGTCCTTCTGAAACCCCAGGAGTAGAAGAATTAATCACGGTGGGGTTATGTGAGGGATATTTTGCAAAGAACTCTAGACCAGCGAAGGCACCAGGCTATCCTTAGAGGCTTGGAGGCGGCTGAGTGGGGACCCCTGGCTGGCCCCAGGTACAGCAACCCAGTGGCATCTTTGGGAGGATCTGCCTCTCCTGTGGACCAAAAGCCTGGGAAGGGGGCTGTGCTGACTTTGAGCCACTCGCTTTCTGCACTCACAGCACTGCATAGAGCCCAGGTGACATAAAATGTGTCCCCCGGACCCAGTGGGCAGTGATGACGATGATAAAAAGTAACAAGGCCAGGATTTTCAGTGCCGTTTTACAATCCTAGGACAGTAGGAACTGGCTAATTTCTGAGCACTCTGAGGGGTGCTAGAGAGGCCCTGGAGCTCTACTTCATGTCATTGTCTGTCTTGTTTCTTAGTCTTCCTGGCTTCTGCCTGCCAGAGGTACAAAGGACATAATTTGCTGGAAGGACAGAAATATTCATTTATTTTTTTGTGTCCAACTAGTGAAGAAATCAGACCTAAATAAACTGCAGCAAATGACAAACCAGAACTCCATGCATACGGGGTGTGCACACACACCAACCCCTGCCCTGTGGCAGGTGGCTTACCCCATACTGAAGCAGAGGCAAAGGCCCATTTCCCAACTGGACAGGGGAGGGTGCAGATAGGCATTGCACTGAGCCACAGCCCAAGTCAAGCTGGGCGTGCTGCAAGCAGAAGGGTCCCGACAGCACACCCTTGGTACCCAGGACCCTGCTTCTCACCTGCTGTGCGATGACATCCCTGGGAAACACCCACTGGCATGGATGGCCGGGCCGAGAGAAGTTCTGCACAAATTCCATCCCACGCTGGCTCGAAAGCGTCCTCACTAGGTACACTCGGTGCCAGTCGTTTTTGACGCGGTTGCAGAACTGCTCAACGTGCTTCAGGAAGCACTGCTTATCCTCAGCCAGCTCTGTGAATTTTGGGAACAGGTGAGTACTGGTCACAGGACATTTGCTGGACACAAAACCTGTCAGAAGTCCTGAGCCTGCTGTTTGGGAACTCAGTAGGACACACTCACAGAGGGAAGGGTTCATGCAGAAGCCAGCTATCCTGAGAACATGTTTCCTATGGTTCCTAAACTGCTGCATTAGAGGGTCTCTGTGGAGGAAAACCTACCTGAACCCTCCTGAAGCTCTGAGAGGAAGTCAGCTGCCCAGTCAAGGCACAGGCGGACTCTGGCCACCTCTTGTAGGTAGTCCACCGAGGCAGCGGTGGCAGGCTCCTGGCCTTGGCTTCCGGGGGAACAGGTCCTGAGGAAACAGCCTTCCTCTCTCAGGCGGCTCTGCTCGTTACTTCTGCAGCCAGAACTTCTCTTCTCATGCACTGAGTCCTGAGGAACACAGGGCAGAAAGACCAGGGTGTCAGTCTGCACAAGCAAGTCCCCTGCCTCCTAAAATTACCACAGCGAGCTGCGAGCGCCGAAGGAAAAACAGTGTCATCAGGGATTTCCATGTGAATTGTTTTTGAATCTTGGAAATGTAGCATCCCTTTCTATGTAATGGCAAGAAGGCAGGAAAAAATTGTGAGGATAAAAATGTATACTTAATATGACAAAAGTGTTCGCAGTAGCAAGCTGACGATGACTGCTGACTCCCTGGGATAGTCCAGGCCGTGGCTTGTTTTCTGCAAAAAGTGGCTACACAGGCATTGCTGAATAGGGGTACCTTCAGAGAAATCCATCCCTGGGGAACTCAGATGTGCAAATCACTAAGTGGTCTCACCTCACAGGATAGACAATGAACGAGTGGTACCCAAATACCATCACGTGGCTCATGACTATATTTGCAACTGCAGAAGGCAGACACATGGCTTTGGAAACTTTTTTTTCTACCTGCAACTGAGCATTTCTTTATTGTACTGACTAAAGACATCCTGTTGATTTTCATAAACACTTTTTCATTGCATGAACCACATGGTTCAGAGTTTTAAAAGAAATGCAGGGACCTGACAGCCAGCTCACCTCCAGGCAGTTGATGAAGAGCAGGTAGAGTTCTGTTTTATCTTCAGCTAAGAATGCTTTGTTCTCTAACTGGGACAAGTAATCCTGAATGTAACCTTTTACTTCGTGGAAGCTATTGAAAAGGAAATATTATTCCAGTCAGTTTAAATGGTCCCCCCCCCCCCGGGCTGGGTCTAATCCAGGGTCTGCACATGTCAGGCAAGCGCTCTACCACCAAAGCACACCCCTAGCACCTGGATCCTTTTTTAACACACAGGATTTTGTGATATCAAGTATTAGTCATTTGGAAAACCCTTATAGTGTCAGTACATTTTTATTCTAGAATGCATTGGGAAAAAATACCCTACCTACATTGCCATGGATCTCCTCTAAAAGTATTTTAAGTTCTATGAAGCTGGTTAGCTTGTGGTGGTATTGTTGGCAGGAAGTGCCCATAGTGTTTGGGTGTGACAGGATCACTTTGTCCTCAGGAAAGTGCCCACCAGCTCTGTACCCTTGCAGTCACTCTTCCAGACATGAAAAGAAAGCAGCTGGTTCCCAAATCAGGACCACAGCATGGGACACTGGGAGGTAACTGCTCTTTGCTGCAGCTGGTGTTCTATGAGCACTTCCTGTTCCCACAGAATGCTAGGAAGTCCTATCATAAGGTCAAGACTCAGTAAAGCTAGTAAGTGGCACATTTCAGCAGCTCTGTGAGCAGTGAAGAGAACTAGGACTATCACTGCTTGTTTTGTCATGACAATTCCAGTGTGCCACTCACATCCAGGGATGCCACTGCAAGCATTAAAAAGGCCCGTCCTGCCTTGATAGGACTCTGTAAGAAGTTTGGACCTAGGACCACACAGGCACCTGGAGAGCTGCAGCTATGGATCAGCACATCTGCTACACTCTCTGGGGGCATAATCCACTCCCTTCTACCAAGGAAACATACACAGAGCTCATGTTCTGTAGGACACCCGGCATGCAGAAGGTGAAGGACAGTGAGTCACTTCCCAGCATGTCACAAGACTGGGCAACAGTGAGCTGGGGCCAGAACCAGAGCCTACACCTACAACATGACACCATGGCCCCTTCCTGGTACTCTCTTCTTGCTAAGTACACACTTGCCTCTGGACCACAGGACCACACACAACCCTCAAGCAAACCAAGCTTCCTCTCACAGCACCAGGTTCGCCAAAGCATGGTGAGCTCCCAGCCACGGGGCAGCCAAGATGGAGAGCCACAGAGAAACAAGGAAGAGCAGCCTCCGGGTGGCCGTGCCAACCTGTACTTCAAAAGCAGCTTCAACACCACAGAGCGGATGATAGGAGTCTTGTCGATGACATCATCAAATGGAGACAGAGATTTTGTGTGTTCACGGTGTTCTGCAGCTAGAGAGAGAAAGAGGCTGTAGCTCACACCATACAGACCAAGCTGAAGCATGGCCTTTAGGTTTACAGGAAGACGGCAACTCACTCTGGAAAGTATCTCTCAGCAGCTCCTTTTGTACGAAGAGTAAGGACAGCAGGCTGTGGATTACTGCCTTCTGAGGAGGGGTGTTATCTTTGAAGCACATGGTGGACACCAGGTCCACGAAGAAGCTGTTGCACATCTGCCGGAACTGGGCGTGCTTCTCAATAACTTTTCTTAGGAAGGGTAGAAAAACTGTCAAAAGACCTGTAGAGAGTATTCCACATCCCTCCACGCAGAGTGAGGTGAGATTTGGATAGCATTTTGGTTTTTATGTTTTTTGTTTGTTTTTGCTTTTTAAAAAAATTTATTTTTAGCCAGGCGTGGTGGCGCATGCCTTTAATCCCAGCACTCAGGAGGCAGAGGCAGGCGGATCTCTGTGAGTTCAAGGCCAGCCTGGTTTACATAGTGAGTTCCAGGACAGCTGGGGCCACAGGGAGACCCTGTCTCAAAAAGACCAAAAAAAAAAAAATTTTTTAGAAAAAGATTTATTTTAATTATGTGTGTAGGAGGTGGAGCACGTACACATGAGTGCAATGAGTGTGGAAGCCAAAGAGGACACTGGATCCTTTGGGGCTGGAGTTAGTCAGTTGTACGTCACCTGATGTGGGTGCTGGGAACCAATCGCTGCAAGGTTCTCTGCAAGAGCAGTTGTCATCACTGCTGAGCCATCTCTTCAGCCTCCCATTTTCTTTCTTTTTCTCTTTGCTGGGATTAAAGGCATGCACCACCACGCCCTGCTCTGTTTTCTTTTTTGAGACAAGGTCCTGCTATGTAGCCTAGGCTTGGCCTTCAACTCAGCCTCCTAGCCCCAATCGCTGGAATTAAAAGTGTGCACTACCACATCCGGGTAGCATTTTTTAAAAAAGTGTTTTTAGTTTTGAATCAGCAGATGTATTGAGCTCCTTACGTTGATCAGAACTCATCTCCAGCAAGCACTACAACACTGTCTGTCTGTCTGTCATTGTTTGGACCCTTAGATGTCCTGAACACTGTCTACATCTCCAGCACTACAACACTGTCTCCAGCACTACAACACTGTCTGTCTGTCTGTCATTGTTTGGACCCTTAGATGTCCATGGGGAAGTGGCCACTAGCAGGGTCTGGGCTGGTGGGGCCCACAGAGCCAAGGCTGTGCTCCTTCACCTCCTGAAAGCTGGGCCAGAGCTGTTTTCATCCTCCCGTTGGAGAATGAGGCGGCATTCACACATTAAAGCAGATGAGGGCCGTGGACACCATTCCGCTGGTAAAGTGTGTGCCATAGGATTGTAACCTCAACACTCAGGATGTGGGTGGGAGACACGAGGAGCCTTAGGGCTAGCTCATTGGCCAGTCAGCCTAGCTAATGGATGAGCTCCAAGTTTCAGTGAAACACCCTGTCTCAAAAGATAAGGTGCAGAGCTGCGAAGGAAGACATCTGGTGTTGGCCTCTGGCCCCAACACCTTGTTCCCCCCATGCACGCACTTACACACAACACACAGAAAGGACATGATGGGTAGGAGTGTGGTTCACTGGTAAGGCACCTGCCAAGCCTGCATGAGTCCAAGTGCCATCCCCAGTACCACTCCAACCCTTCCCCCAAAACATGCTGTCTCTACATTTGACCTGTTTACTTGGGGAGTGAAGGATTTTGAGGCAGATTCTAGAAAGATGCCCTTCTGGGATCTCTCATGAAAGCTCTCTGAAGTCAGCCTGTACACCCAGGGAAGGCTAATTAAAAGTGGTATCTCAGAAGATTACATTTGAAAAAAAACGGAGAAAGAGGAAGTTTTCTTAAGAGGAAAGGTGTTTTACCTGTGTTCCTGGGAAACAGTTGGTGAGAACGTGTCTGACACGTCTGTTAAGCAGTAGGGGCACATCATTTGTCCTGGGATGAGCCAGGCTTTGATGCAAGGCAGACAGAACACATGCTCACAGGGCAGACAGACAGGATCCCAGGCATCTCCCAGGCAGATGGGGCACGGCTGAACACCAAACCTAGAAGCCAAGGAGGTGGTTGTTTCCAGAGCAGAAAAGCTGGCTACAAAGAGCAGGTGCCCCACCATCAAGGCAGAAGTCTCTCTCGGTGTTTACCACACTGCTCACCTGGTCAAGGTCTTGCTGGCTTTGTCCTTGCATTCACACAGAGTGGTCATTACAGCCTTAAAAGGCCTGAAGGTCTTGATGTCAGGGTCCTCCTCAAGGCACTGGGGGAGAAAGGCAGTGGGCACAGCTGTGAGCATCGAGGCATCTGTAGGGCAGACGCCCTTTGGATGGTTAATTGGCTTTGGATGTCCCTACACTTTAAATCTTTTTTTTTTTTTTTTTTTTTAAATCTTTTTGAGACAGTCTCCCTGTAGCCCCAGCTGGCCTGGAACTCACTATGTGGACCAACCAGGCTAGCCTCAAAGTCACAGAGATCCTAGTGCTGGGATTGAAGGTATGGCCACCAGACCCAGCACTTTTTTTTTGTTTTTGTTTTTATGAGTCATCACTTGCTTAGTAGGAGAGCCCCAGGGATCTGTAGGCTCCACCCCCACCCTCCCCAGTGCTGGATTTACAAGCACCAGTCACCCCGGCTTTTCTTAAAAAAATGTGGGTTCCAGGAATTGAACTCAGGTCCACAGGCCCTCGACTGAGCCACTCCCCCTGACTGTGCTGCTCTTTAAATGTCAAAATCCCCAACTTCTGAATTTCCTGCTACTCTCTTAAGGTCCTACCTCCTGCCCCATTATGAGATATTTCAGCTTTTAAATAATAATGCCACGTACGCACCATCAAAGCACCATCAACCTTTAAAAGCGATCTTAGCATTTGGGTCTCTCTTTGCTTTAAACCATGGTTTAGGGAAAGAAAACACTGCAGTTAGAGCTGCAGCAACTTGAGCACTTCTTCTGATCCAACTCCCGTGTTTGTCTCAGGATATGCATACCTGTGGGCAAACATGCCCTCTGTGTCCTATGTGTTCTAATGCTGTGTACCATTGACACGCCCTACAGGCAGGCTCTGGCAGGCAGGTGGCTTTCGTCCTTGATCTGTGCAGGTCTGATTCTTTCACGCAAACTGCTACCTGTTCTCCATTTTCCAGCGAACGATGTTCACATGTTCTGGCTCTGGGACTCTGAATGGTCCTGAACTCAACACTGTTGTATGTGTCTGCTTCAGTAAAACTCAACAGTGTCCCTGGGACACACATTTAGATGTGAAGCATCTGATTTGTAAGAAATACAGATCTTAAAACAAGCCAGTGAACCTAAGGGCAATGTTTCCAGAAGTCTGTGGTAGGGCATTTCCTATGGAGGTTCTCACCTTAAGCATTCCACATTAAGCATTCCAGAGCATTAAAGACTGAGAAGAGCTCTGACTTACTAAGAGTTATTTTTCCCCCAAATCATTACTTTTGTTAAATGCTTTCTACTTTTTGAAATGATCATTTACTTTATCTTTTAAATATTTTATTAATTATTATGTGTATGAGTGTATTGCCTGCATGTATGTGAGTGCACCTGTGTTGTGCAATGCCGCGAGGTCAGAAGAGGGCATAATTAATGACATTTATAGATTTAAATTTTTGAGCCATCCTTGAGTTGCTAAACTTAAAATAATGTGTATTTTTTATATTCTGGGCAAAGGACCTAGACGTTTCTGAGGTGACACAAAAGCACAAGATGCACATGAAGTGACGCTCTGCGTTCTTAGTCACAGTCCTGGTGAAGTACTTCACCACACTCCACATCTCAGACGCCTGTCCTTAAGGACAAAAAGCATGCTGGCCAGGACGTGGTGCGACCGAGCCCCACATGCTGCTGGTCGAAACATAAAACGGTGCAGCCACCGTGGAAAAGAGGAGAGCAGCTGCCAAAAGGGTAGACATAGAATCAACGGACATGAAGCATGTCCAGAAGAGGTGGGACTCAGGCACCTTCACACCCGTGTACCTGCTGGTATCGATCAGGGGCTTCAGCCACACAGAACAGTTATAATCAACCATTGAAAGGAAGGAATTCTGACATGCTGCAGCACATGGAATGGGCCAGAGAAAAAGGACAAATACAGTACAGTTCTGCTCACGTGAGGCACTTATGAAAGTCACGTTCACAAAGAGAATGTAGGAGAGAGGTTGCAGGGAGCCAAGGGAGGAGTAGGGAGTGTGAATGGAGGCAGAGCCTCGGTTTATGAAGATGATAAAGTTCGAGATGGAAGTAGAGATGGAGCACAGGGTGACTGTGCTTAGTGTCACCGAACTGCTCACATGATGTGTTTCATGTTACGTATTTTTTTGTTAAATATATTTTATTTATTATTTTAATTTTATGTGTATGAGTGTATTTCCTGCATGTACATGAGAGCACCCATGTCATGCAATGCCACAGAGGTCAGAAGAGGGCATTGGATTCCCCTGGAACTGGAGTTAAGGACAGTTCGTAGCTGCCATGTGGGTGCTGGGGATTGAACCTGGGTCCTCTCCAAGAGCAGTCAGTACTCTTAACCCCTGAGCCATCTCTCCAGCCCCTCATTATGTATATTTTAGCACAACTTAAAATAATATGGCAGTGGCCTGTGGGATATGACAAACCAGAAAATCAGTGCCCAAATATCCTGTACCAAAACATCCAGAAAGACTGTCACGTGAAACACCTTGGATCACATGCCACAGGCATCTCTCTTTACCGTCCTACCTGGAAATCATCTATCTATCACCTACCTATCTGTCATCTGTGTACTCCTTCGTATCAAAGCTAACTGAGGAAGCCTGAATGTCTATCATGTGTTAGCTATTTTCTGTAGCTTTGATAGTGCTCGGAGGAGATGGAGGCATCATGACTGTGAAATCCTTGGTCAGGGGCCTACCTACAACAGGGTCTACCTACAGCAGTCTAACTGACCACAGCAAAGATCAGATTGAGGGTGATACTCCTGTTTCAAATGGCCCAGGGGCTGCCCTGTAGTAGGAACATGAGGCCATGCAGGGCAGGCTTCATGTTCGAAATGAACTAGATAACATCTCTGACTTCAGTGTCTGTCACACAGGTCTGATTAGAAGGAAATAAACCAGAAACCTATTGAGTTTTTGAGGTCATTATAGTGGCAAATCTTCCCCCTACTCTGAACCTCTACAGCCCTATGGGAGTTGCATGGGCCAGATAACTTACGTCTTCATTAATGGATTACACGGCCTGAAAGTCCCAGAGGTCCAGCAATCCTGAACAACCACGGCATGTTGTAGAGAGGATGTGTGAACGAGGGAGGATGGTGAAAGATGTTCATGTGGCCGAGTCACAGCACGGTATTCCACTCTCCTTTCTCTGCTTTAATAAAGAACCCTTGCGATCCACCTGGGCATATGCCCACTGACCACGCCACAAAAGGAGCTGCAGCTTTGTGTGCATCTGGTATGTTAGGCAGACCTAGTGGCACAGACTTGCAATCCCAGTTGCTCAAGAGCCCGAGGCAGGAGGATTACACGTTCAAGGCTTGTCTGGGCTACAGAGTAAGTTCAAGGCCTGTACAACTTAATGAGCCACGGTCTCAAAATAAAACAAAGGCTAGGGAGCCAGCACAGTGATAGAACGTTGCCTGGCCTGCACCGGGCCCTAAAAAGACTGGCTGTGTCTGTATCCAGTACCCCACCTTTTTTTTTTTTTTTTTGGTTCCATGGGCTGTGATCCCAGAAACCACCTTCCAAGACCCCCACCAGATGGTGTCTGTTACAGATGACGGAGGCTTGCACCCCTGGTGTCTAGGAGCTGTTTTAAGCCCATCCTGTTACAGAAGTGATAAATGACCTTCTGCCTGGCTCAAGCCCTGTTTGCAGCTCATGTCCAAGATGATGGGCACTGGCCTCCTCGCCAACCTCCTAGTGCACCTACCGGCACTGCAGCAGCTGCGTGGATGCCCAGAGCTGTGTTTCTTTGATGCCAATAGCCTTCCCCCACTGCTGCCCTCATGTGAAGATCTGGGGAGGAGGGGCAGGGAGGCAGAGCCTGCATTGTGCTGAGTGGTGGCTGTTGGGGACAGCATGTTTAGAGATGGTGGCTTTTTCTGCAGCGACCCGCCTGTACTGTCACTGACTTTATCACAGGTGTTTAGGGCAGAGGCTTGGTGGTTTCCTGTTCCCTTGGTTCTCGCCTGTTCTCGTTCTGACTGTGGTGATGGCATTTCTTACTGCTGAGGGCTGGGCCATTGGGCTATTCTGGCCAGGGGCTTCCTTTGTCTCTCTCTCTCTCTCTCTCTCTCTCTCTCTCTCTCTCTCTCTCACACACACACACACACACACACACGTACACACCGGATTTTTAGGCTATAGCTCTAAATGATGCCACACACACACGTACACACCGGATTTTTAGGCTAGCTCTAAATGATGCACCTTGGCTTAGTGATCTGAGAGTAAATACTCCAACAGCCAAACACTGAGAATTCAGCCACCCACAAAGGATATCGTTATACTTTGCGTGGCCATGCAAAACTTCCAGAGCACTGAGCATGAGCACATCAATCTGAGGGAACCGTCAGGGGAGATTTCTGCCCTCCATATGGCCAGGAGGCAGGCAGGACCACACGTGGACAAACCAAGCCCAGCACTCACCTTGTCTAGCAAGAAGACATACTTGGTCACCAGTTGAGTCAGCTCTGGAACCTGGCTCTCGGTCCCCAGGAGAACGTGATCCACAAAGAGAGCGATAGAGAAAATACGATTCCACTGGGCTCTGTCAAAAGAGGGGTGTCACTCAATGAGCTCCAAAAGAGAAGCCTGAGCCATGGGATGAGAGAGCAGGTGCTGGGCAGGGGATAAGAGAAGGTCAACAGACAGGAAGGAGCACCCACCTTCCTGACAGAGAACTCCTGACATGCCCTACACTCTCCAACACACACCGGCAGCACCTGTCTCTAGTTCAGTACCTCCACCCACATTGATGAAGCACAGCAAGGAGCTGTCCCCTGACCTGGACAGCCTGTCCCTTCTCTGTGTGCTCTGCCTGCCCTTGCTGTCCTTCCTAACTCCGCTGCAATCACAGTGGTTCTCAAAGGGCATCATAACGACTGCCTTCTACCACCCCCAGGACAGTTGCCTTCCTAGGTCTCTGGAATCTAATACGCTGGGCAGCCCTTGAGAGAGGCTCAGCAAATGTTAGACAGGTGGGTGAGGCAAGTACCCTTACCACAGCCAAAAAGCCTACCAACCTCACTTGATCAGATGCCAGAGCTTGGCAGGCTCCAGGGGTGAGCACAGGCAGAATGCCACAGAGGCAGGTTCCCACATCTCACCTGACCCCTTGGATGACAGCTTTGGTCATATTCCCACTGTCTTGCAAATACCCGTCGGAACAGATAAGCTCCAGAGGCATGGACAGAGTCTTCACCAGCTGTAACCAGGCCTGGGGAGATGGCTTCAGGATGTCTCTCTTCAGCATTTCAACACAGGCCATTGCTGCAAATGCATCCAGTATCTAGGGAGAAAACAGACACATGACCCAGCAGGGCCCTCATTCCCACCTGCCTTTCAGTACAGGCACTGCATCCTTAGGCCCACGTGTTTTCAGGTCCAAGCTTGTAACCTCCCCTCTCACCATATTACACACGTGCCGGAAAAGAATCTCTCACTTGGAATGTGGCCCCATAAGCCCTCTCCTTGCAGGATGGAGGCTGAAACAACCCTTATTTGGGGCAGTCCCAGGTCCAGGCCTCCCCGAAGAGGGGCCGTACCATCTCACATCCAACCAAGTCATGCTTCTGTGCCGCTTCGGTGAGGCTGTGCAGAACCTGGGGATGGATGGTCAAGATCCTGGAGAAGTTCTGCAGCCGGGTCCTGAAGTGCTGATAGGCCAGGTGCACCCAGGGCAAGGAGAGTCCTTCCTCAAGCACTCTTGATGCTTCTCGAAACTCACTGAGGCAGGACCACAGGGCCATCTGCAGAAACTGGGGTCACAAAAGACCTTCAGTACATACTTTTAAAGGATGAAGACATGCTCCCCCTTGGGAAACTGAAGTATCCAAAAGCAACAAAAATGAAAATTAAAAGTCAGGCCTGTGAGCACATCAATGCCATTTTTCCTCAGGATCATCCCCAAATCAGAATGCCTGTTCCCGAAAGTCTCCACTCAGTGTGACAGCGTAAATAGTCCTCCAGCCCTAGGAGACTTGGAAACATTGTCTTAAATAGTTGGCAAATGGTCATTTTAAAATTAACACTTTAATTTGTCCTTCCTTTATTTTTTATTGATTTGTGTAGCCCAGGTTGGCTGTGAATTCAACATCTTTCTTCCTTGATTGCTTGTGAGCTGGGATTCCCGCGTACACCACCATGTCTAGCTCTCTACTGTTTTGAAAAATTAAATTGTTTCTAATTCTTCATTATTACAAACAACACTAAAAGGAACATTACTGTGTTTGTCCCTAAGGCTAATAATTCTTTTGGGACAGAAAAAATAGTTCAGATGGTGCTGGGCTCTCCCTCCATCCTGCCATATGCCTTTTGGATCACAGCTGTGTGTATGACCATCACTGGGTGGTCTGTCCCCGCCTTCCTTCCGTGTGTATGACCATCACTGGGTGGTCTGTCCTCACCTTCTGCCTTTTCAGCACTGACTCTTACCTTTTTAAGACAGGGTCTCCCTGTAGCCCCAGCTGGCCTGGAACTCCCTTATGTAGACCAGGTTGGCCTTGATCTCACAGGGATCTCCCTGCCTCTGCCTCCTGAGTGCTAGGATTAAAGGTATATACCACCATGCTGGGCGGACTGTTGTCTTTTACAAATATTTTATCATTTTTATTTTATTTATGTATATGAATGTATTGCTTGCATGTGTGTAAGTGCACCTGTGTTGTGCAATGCCTGTGGAGGTCAGAAGAAGGCATCAGATCCCCTGGAGCTGGAGTTCAGACACTTGTTAGACCCTATGTGGATGCTGGGAACTGAACCTGGTCCTTTTCAAGAACAGCCAGTGTTCTTAACACTGAACCATCTCTCCAGCTCCACCTTGTTTTTTAAAAGCTAGTTTTTGGCAGTAGCTTACGGGCAGCAACCACGTAGCCCACTTTTCTGAATTCTTCTAAGCATGCTTTCCTTAACACTCTCTCTAAAGCTCCCCCCCAGCCATGTGGCTGCTAGTCTGTCATGTGTCTGACCTCCACACTGGCCTAGATGTTTTTCCTTCTCTCCTCCATTCTCCTCCTCCAGGCAGCTGCTAAGATTTACAGCTTGCCGGCTCTGAGAGTTTTCCTTCAAACACAAAACAAAACAAAACCACACCACAACAAAACACAAAGCAAAGCACCTGTAATAAAATTGTCTTTAAGCTTAAAAAAAGTTTTTTCTTTTTTTAAAAAAATATTTTATTATTTTTTATTTTATGTGTATAAGTGTATTGCCTGCATGTATGTGAGTGTCGTGCAATGCTGCGGAGGTCAGAAGTGGGCTTCAGATTCCCCTGGAACTGGAGTTAAGGACGGTTCGTAGCCGCCATGTGGGTGCTGGGAATTGAACCTGGGTCCTCTGCAAGAGCAGTCAGTGCTCTTAACTGCTGAGCCATCTCTCCAGCCCCCTTCTTTCTTTTTATTTATGTGTGTTTGTGTGTGTGTATGTTACAAATGCTTGGGGGTGCCAGCAGAGGTCAGAGAAAGATGGCAGATCTCCAGGAGCTAGAGTTACAGGTGATTGTGAGCTACCTGGTATGGGTGCTGGGAACTGAACTCAGGTCCTCTGCAAGAGCAGCAAGCACTCATAACCTCTGAGCCATCTCTCTGCTACCCGGTTTTAGCTTTCTAAGGGCAAGGAATTAGGGTCAAAGCCTAATGCCTTACACAATCATACCCCAATCAGTTTTGCCAAATAAATAGGTAACCGTTGCACCTCAGAACTGGTTACATTTTATTGACTTAGCAATGAGACTGAAAAAGTTACACAAGTATGTTCTAGAAGTCTGTGCAATTATTTACTTAACAGCTGGCTTTTAGATTATTATTATGGTTTTTTTGGTCTTTTTGAGACAGGGTCTCCCAGTAGCCCCAGCTGTCCTGGAACTCACTATGTAGACCAGGCTGGCCTCCAACTCACAGAGATCCGCCTGCCTCTGCCTCCTGAGTGCTGGGATTAAAGGCGGGCACCACCACGCTTGACTTTTTTGGCTTTTTGAGGTAGGGTCTCCCTGTAGCCCCCACTAGCCTGGAACTCTGTATGTAGACCAGGCTGGATTCAAACTCACAGAGATCTGCCTGCTTCTGCCTCTCGAGTACTGGGATCAAAGGCATGCAACACTACGCCAGCTTATTTTTTTAATTTTAACTTTTTTTTAGTTTTATGTGTAAGAGTGTTATACCTGCATGTATGTAAGTACACTCATCTCGTTCAGTGTCCACAGAGGACAGAAGAGAGTGTCAGATTCCCTGGAACTGGAGTTACGGAAGGTTGTTAGTTACCATATGGGTGCTGGGATTTGAATCCAGGTCTTCTGAAAGAGCAGCCAGTGCTCTTAGCCACTGAGACATCTCTCCAGCCCCATAAATTTTATAAATTTATTTTATGTGTATGTGTGTATTGCCTGCATGTAGGTGAGTGCACCCATGTCATGCAATGCCCGCAGAGGTTGGAAGAGGCTGTTGGATCCCCTGGGACTGGAGTTACGGATAGTTGTTAGCTGCCATGTGGATGCTGGGATTCGAACCCGGGTCTTCTGCAAGAACAACCAGTGTTCTTACCTGCTGAGCCATCTCTCCAGCCCCCATTTTTATTTTTTATTTCTTTGAGACATGGTCTCATGTAGCCTAGGCTGGTCTTAAACTTGCTATAGACAAAGATGGCCTTGAACTCCTGTTCCTCCTGTCTGCCTCCCAAGTGCTAGGATTATAGATGTGTGCCACTATGCTGGGCAGCCATAAGGAGATCTGAGGGTGTCTTCAAGTAACAGAAGGTTTGGTCCTAAGAGTGTTCCAAATAGCTGAAGGGGTGTTTGACATTTGACAGTGCCATGTGTGGAGGCTGAGGACATGCTCTGTTCTGATTATACAAGATCCACACTTAACCTGACTCCACACCTACCTTTAACTGTTCCCTCGAAGACACTCTCAAGGTCAAGAGCAGGAAGTCCTTCATATAGCACTGTAGCAGTTCCTGCTGCTGAGCCACAGGAAGCTGAGCAAGAAACTTGCCCAGGGGAGTCTTCTGGAAGATTTCTACTAACTTCTTTGACAATCCTACAGACAGGAGGCCAGAGAGTGGTGTGGGTGAGACAAATCCGGAGTTCAGGGAGGAGCTCACTGTTCTGGGAGGCAGCCCTACACCCAGGATAGAGGCAGCTCTGTTGAACTACTCAGACAAGCTGGATGCCTGACCGTACAATGAAGGGACACCCACTGTCTCCACAAGAGGAGAATAAAGAGGGAAGAACCAGTGGTAAACGTCAGTCACAAACAGCCATGCTAATCCCAGTGGGAGAGAGCATCTGAGACCTCCCGCCTAGGTTATCTGTCAGAGTTCCTAGTGGATCAAGAAGCTGGGCTGCCCTTAGGGTCAGAGGCCAGCTGATTAGAGCTCTGCTTCCCATGGCTCTGGCCACATGTTGCCCTCTAGAAGCAGGGGCAGATGGGCTGCCATCTTGAAAACAGGTGCTTTCTCATCAGGAGAGGCTTCATGTTTGTTTAAAGATGTGGCAGATGCCAACCTAGAAAAGCAATGTCATGTGGGAGTACTTTGACCAGCGCGCCAAGTGAAAGCTTAAGAGGTGATTTCTTGTATGAACAACAACTTCTAAAAAATATTAGGGGCTGCAGAGATGGCTCAGCGGTTAGGTGCACTGGTTGCTCTTGCAGATGAGCCAGGTTTGGTTTCCAGCACACACAGTGGCTAACAACTGTTTGTAACTCCAGTTCCAGGGGATCCGATGCCCTATTCTGGCCTTCATTGGATATACATAAAATAAAAATAAAAATAAAAATTTCAATGTTAGGAGGCTGGTGAGATGGCTGGTTCAGCAGTTAAGACATTTGCCACTGTTCCAGAAGACCCTAAGCCAGTGCCCAGTACTGACATCAGGTGGTTAATAATCACCTTTAACTCCAGCTCCAGGTGATGTGACACCACAGGTACCTGCACATGTGTACACACACAAATGCACACACTTAAAGAGTAAAAACTAAAAGTATAATATAAAAAGTTAGGTTATCATTGTTTTTTCTGGAGGGATGGTAGCGACACCCCTTATGTGTGACAGCAGAGAGGGGTGCTTGTGTGACTGGGGAGGGCCTGACAGCTGCATGCATAGGAGGACGGTAGGCTCTGCTTGCCAGCATTTGCCGGCAAAGTTCCACCATCGTGGCCTTCCTACAGCAGGTAGCAAGCTCTCCCTGATGGAAATGAAATTTCTGTCAGGCCCCCAGGCAATGCATTACTAGCGTCGCCTTACGGGCCCCCCTGGCTATGTCTCTTACAGGCTTCCGGTGCTTGGTGAAACTCACTCTTCAGCAGAAAAGTTTTTAAAAATTGTTGCATCTATGTTTGTGTGTACGCATGGGTGGTACACATGTGGTGGTCAGAGGATAACTTTTAGGAGTCAGTTCTCTTCTTCCACCACATGGGTCCCACGGACTGAAAGTTGTCAGGCTTGGCGGCAAGTGCCTTTACCTGCTGAGCCATCTTCTGGGCCCTGCAGCAATTTAAAAAATACTTTATTATTTTTATATTGTGTGTATGAGTGTATTGCCTGCATGCATGTAAGTGCATCTGTGTCATGAAATGCCCGCAGAGGTCAGAAGGGGGCATTGGATACCCTAGAACTGGAGTTATAGACGACTGCCGTGTACGCTGGGAACTGAACCTGGGTCCTCTGCAAGAGCATCCAGTGCTCCTAACTGCTGAGCGTCCCTCCAGCCCCTCTCTACAGCAATTTTAGAATGAAGGAATGGTATACCTGAGTATACCTGAGGCTACTCCACAAAGTCCTAAACTAAAATCTCCAAGATTAGCCTGGCTGATTCGTCTACACTGCCTTGAGTCTGCTATGGGGCCTCACCTTCTGTGTCAGTGATATACTGAGCCTGGACCCAAAGCTCCTCCAGGAAGTCCCTGATTCTCCAGCTGAACGGGACAGCATTGCACGCATTCTTAAACAGATTCATGTGGCTCTGCACCAGGATGGAGGACATCTCGGTTTTAGACCTGTAGCAAGGCAACGGAGAACAAGAGTACAGCTTGTGAGATGTCAGTAAGACACCGTACAGTGAGATGTCAGTAAGACACAGTGCGTACAGCTGACACCAGCCCTCCGTTTCTGAGAGAAGGGGCTGGGGCTGGGGCATGGCTCAATGACAGAGCACCTGCTAGCATGGGTAAGGCCTTGTGTATCATTTTACCATTAAAAGGGCTAAGAAGAAAGGCACTGGGGGTGGAAAATGGCTCAGCCGATAAAGAGCTTGCTCTGCAAGCATGAGGACCTGAGTTCGATCGCTAGCACCCACGTAAACAAGCCAGGTGTGGTGGCACATGCCTATAACCCCAGTGCAGGGGATGTATGGATGAGAAGACCCTGGAGCTCACTGGGCAAACAGGTGAAGTCTAGATTCAGTGAGGCCTGTCCTGAAAAATAAGGCGGAAAGCAATTGAGAAAGATGGCTGATGCCGACCTCTGGCCTCCACAGACATGGGCATGTATGTAAACACATGTATAAAAAGAATAATTAAGTAACCTTTAAAAGTAAAAAAATTTAAACAAGAAAGACACAGAGTTGCAGGCTGTATGGATGGCTGCAGGTGGGTTTCCAGGTCAGGGTTTTTGCTATAAAGGAGCTAGAGGTCGGCCTCACAAAACTTATCTACACACAGAAGCAGTGGGACGGGGGGACAAGCACACTGTCCACGGTCTGTGGCCGAACCAGATCTGCTGTGTCCACACCCGCCCCCACACTGCCCCTCCTGCCTGTCCCTGGCCTCTCCTGCCCTCCCCTCACCTCTCCTACCTGTCCTCTGCTCCCTCTTCTCTCTCCTGCCCCCTTCTGCCCATCTACATTCAAGTATGACCATCAGGATGAGGCCTTTTCTCAGGCATATCAGCCACAGGCTAGTAGTTCAAAATTCCTGGGGCTGCAGAGATGGCTCAGTTAGGAGTGCTTGCTTTTCTTGCAGAGGACCCAAGTTCAGTTCCCAGCACCCACATCAGGTGCCTCACAACTTGCCTGTAACTCCAGTTCCCAATGCCCTCTTCTGGCCTCCACAGACACCCCCATACATGTGGCATGCACACACATACACAGGAAAAATAAGAATCCCTTGTGTTTTCCTTTGCCTGCATTCTAGAACCAAAGTCCCTTGTGAGCCTGAGCCCCACAAGGTCAGGCCACAGGGCAGGGAACACCTCAAGGGAAGCCCAAACATAGCATCTCTGTGTTTTCAACAAGATGTTGAAGCTGGCTATGTGAACAGTCATAGGCGCTTGCAAAGGTGGGAAATGGGACAGTGGAGAGTGATCGAAGACCTCTGAGGACTTGAGTCAGCATCCTCTATGCTGTCATCCCGAGATCATCCAGGGTAGCTGGGCAGAGGCAAATGTCAGGCTAAGGGTACCACCTACAGTCCATCAAAAGCTTGTGAGAGAGGACAAAGATGCTGCTCTGTTATGACTCCCCCTCCATAAAAGCAGGTCTGCACTCACCTCGTGTTATTCATCACAAGAGGAATGTTCAGGAACTTAATGTCACTGAAGATAAACATCCAAAGCTCTCGGACCCAGGCTGGTGACTCGGGTTGGTCCAGTAGCTCTAGATTGCCATCCCTGTCGATGTAAGATATCATGCTTGCTAGGAATGGAGTGACCACGCCTTGGACCCGCTTCCAAAGGGTATGCCTGCAGCAGGAACAGAGGGGACCCGCTGTAGCCAGGAAGCACATTCCTTTCCTGAGTAACAGCAAAGCTTTCGGGCGGCTGATTCCCATATGGCAGGCAGGCAACATAGTGTTCAAGGGTGGGAAAGGCGACTCACAAAAGGAAGCATCCGAGATCAGAGAGAGAACTGGAATGGAACCGATTCTATACCAGTAACTGGAATTAATTCATCAGAGTGGTGAAAAAGCATTTATTTTATATATACATTTAAGTATTATTTTTATTTTTTGTATACAAATGTATTGCCTACATGTAGGTAGGTGAACCCATGTTGTTCAGTGCCCCCAGAGGTCAGAAGAGGGCATTGGATCCCCCGGAACTGGAGTTATGGACAGTTGCTGGCTGTGGGTGCTGGGAATTGAACCTGGGGCCTCTACAAGAGCATCCAGTGCTCTTAACCACTGAGCCATCTCTCCAGCCCCTATATATACATTTTTTTACATGAGTATAAGGTGTTTTAATCAAATCCATTCGTATTCCCTCCCCTCCAACATTCCCGCCTCTGAAGAGGTAACCCTAAAATCTTTTAGGGATTGGATACAAGCTCCCAATGACTCCATAAATGAAAATAATGACCAAATTCATCAAAAAAAAAAAAGTATTTTGTCTAGCTATAGATAAACATAGCAAAGACAGAGACTAAAGTGAACTTTCTCTAGGTCAGGTTAAATATGTGTTTCCTGGGACTTGGCTTTTGAAGTTTCTGTATTCCAGACATGTGTATTTTAGTTTGATATGGTCAGCTGACTAAATTACATTACAGTTTGTTGCTAAAATGACATGTTTTAGGCCAGGCATGATGAAGCATGCCTTTAATCCCAGCACTGAGGAGGCATAGGTAGGTAGATCTCGGTGCGATCAAGGCCAGCCTGGTCTACATATTGAGTTTCAGACCAGCTGGGGCTACAGGGAGACCTTGTCTCAACAAACAAACAAACAAACCAACAAACAAACACATCCTTAGGGCTTGGGATGTGGTTCAGTGGAGGGTACTGGGATGTGGTTCAATGGAGGGTACTGGAATGTGGTACTGGGATGTGGTTCAGTGGAGGGTACTGGGATGTGGTTCA